CGGTTTGTTTACATATTCCACTCTCCGTGTTCCACATGTTGCATTCGCAGATTCTCATTTTCACCGAACGATCGTCTCTTTCCGCCTGGTCTTGTGTCTCTGTGCTTCTGTAACATAAAGAACGAGCTGACATTTTTCTCACGAAACCAGCGATCAGCTCAACAGACCCTCAGTTTACCTGCATGCATCCTCCTCCTCACCTGTCAGCTGTTTAACACCTGCTGCTAATTCAAGAAACACGCCCACGTTACCTGGTGATAGTCACAGTTTAACTGGGCAGCCGGTGCTCGATATAAAGCAATGTCAGCGCATTTTTCTGCACATTCATTCATAATGTTGTAAATCCAAGCCCATCATGTATTCATGATTTGAATCCTGTGTGAAATCTCAGAAACACACCTTAGACAAAGTGAATCTGTGAACTAAGGTGTAGGTCTGTTAGATCATGTTGTGCTGATCCTCGTTGGGGGATTTGTGTTCATACTGGAGTGCAAAATTAAAACCAGTGGAAGATGGACAAGAAAAGTTCAAAGCCATCAGGTGCTCAGTTTAGAAAAAAGAGAAAAGAGGAGGAGAAACGAGCAACAGATGCAGGTAAGCAGATGTGTGATTGGATAATGGCAGGTCATCCTGAACCAATCAGAATACTTTATTAATCCCTAAGGAAATAATGTGGGTTACAGTTGCTCCAAGAAGAAATGGTAAAAATAGCAACAGTAACAGACTAAACTCCAAACAATACATTATGTTACAGATTTTAATATTAATTGTCAGTTGTTGATTTGTCCTGTTCTCATTGTATGATGAATTATGATGGCTGTTTGGTAGCTGTTTGCATACTATGCATACTCTCCTCTCTTCATGTGTGTGTTTCTCTGGTGAATTTCACAACAGTTTTATGTTAATGTACAATCCTTAATATGTTTTATGTGTGTGTGGTGTGTGGGGGGGGGGGGGGGGAGGGCGCCTGGAGGACCCCTAGAGACGTTATCCCTGGAGGGCTTAACCCGGGGGTTGTGTTCATAACCTGGTTAGTGGCTCTGGTCGCTCTTAGAGGTTGTTCTCCTCGTGGCTGCGTGCAGCGGGGCTGGAGGATGGTCTGTACTGGTGGACGTAGGTTACTGGCCTGGTGGCCTGGCTGCCCCTGAGTGGATCCGGGGCAGGCGTGGGGTTCGGGGGTGCTTCGCCTCCGTGCTGGGGCTCTGGCTGGGCCTTGGGGGCTTCGGTCCTTGTTGGTGTGTCGCCGAGGTTGTGGGCGGGTGGGTGCACGGGGGCTCAGCCCTGGCGCAGGGGGCCTCTGGCGCATCGGCCTAACTAGGGGGCTCTTCAACTGACAGGGAGTTTGTTCCATCCTTGCAGGAGTCCACTCTGCAGGTGGGGGAGAGTCATAGGAGAGGTGGAGAATAAACTTAACCTGGGTGTCTACTGTCTTGTGCAGTCTGGGAGATGATTGAATGTTAGGGTGGGTACAGTTTCCTCTGCGGTGGGGGTTAACGTAACCCCCCCAAACAAACAAACAAACACAAAAACCAGTTCAGCTGGAACACCGGGGCTGTGCGCTCGGTGCTCTCTGTCAGCTGACTGTTCGCAGAGCGAGTGACGTCTCTGAAAACATCTGAGCACAAACATGTTCTGTTGACAACCTGCCCAGACGTGACGATTACGCCACGCCGCCCAGCTTGATGGGTGAGGCTGACAGATAAAATGATTTCAAGATGAGACATGAAGGGGACAAAAGTGCCAAAATGAATTAAATAAAAAAAGTATTAAATAATTAATTAAAACTGTCAATAATTATTTAAATGTGTTATTAATTAATTAAATATGTCAATAATTAATTAATTACATGTGTCACAAATATTTATGTAATTAATTATTTCCAATTTTAATTAATTATTGCCACATTTAATTAATAATTTAATGGTGTATTTAATGAATTCATTATGTCAGTCCTGCCATCTTAATATTATTAGATCTCAGTGCTGCTTTTGATACAGTAGATCGCAGCCTTCTCTCCAGACTGGAACAACACATTGGTATAAAAGGGATTATTTTGGATTATTTTTTAAATCCTACCTATCTAATCGAAGCTTCTCTGTTAAACTCAGAGACTCATTATCCCCAAGGACCGTGCTTTCTTGTGGGGTCCCCCAGGGCTCTATCCTCGGCCCTTTTTTTAATCTACATGCTTCCGATGGGCTCAATTTAAAAAATATATATCTCGTTTCATTGCTACGCAGATGACTCTCAGATTTACAGACGGAAATCTGTGAATCCTCTGTTTGAAGGGTCTGTTTGATTGTCTGGAAGACGTTAAGGCATGGTTGGCGCTAAATTTTCTCAACCTAAATGAGCAAAAAACTGAATAAAGAATAAAGTTACGTTGAAACCAAGCACACCATTGTTTTTCTTGTGACATTACCAATAAGTTTGATGTGTCACATGACCCTCTTCCTATTGAAAAAACAAAAGTTGTATCCAAGATGGCCGACTTCTAAATGGCCACCATGGTCACCACCCATCTTGAGGAGTTTGCCCCCTCACATATAATTCAATTCAATTCAATTTTATTTATATAGCGCCAAATCACAACAAAAGTCGCCTCAAGGCGCTTATACTAATATGCCACAAACAGGACTTTAATATCACCAACCATCCCCATGTTATTACGCTGTATCCATATAAATGGCCCACCCTGTATGGTTAAGTACAGACTGAATACTAGAGGAAAAACCCAAAACTCTGAATCCCGTCCAGCCAATCATTTTCAGCGACGACTTCATTTTAACAGGGAGAGACCTCCAACAGAGCCGGGCTCAGGAAAGGCGGTCCTCTGCCACATCTGGTCGGGTTTGAGGGGAAAGATAAGAGAACAAAGGGGTCACAGAGAGAACACAGCCATACATGACAAAATACAAACTGGGAGAGAGTAGAAAAAATATTCTATTGAATACTGTCATATAAAAATAAAATGTGTTATTTTCTTTTTTTGGCCAATAGTTTAAGGTGGAGGGCAGTTATTCATGGGGGTTTTAATGCGTACAGTTGCCTTGTGTGCCCCAATCAGCTCATTTATGAAATTTCATCAGTGCTGTGGTGCCCCCTCCAGGGGCAGGACAGACAGATGTCATTATGCACCACTGCACTCTCTGTGGTGTATGTGAACAACATGCTTGCACACGAGTGCATGGAGAGAGACAATCTTTACATGTTTTACCTCTTTAGTAACTTTTGCAACGTTACGGGTTGTATGAACGCTGTGTGTCATGTTAGATAAGCAGCGTAGGTCAGACAGCTATAGGTCAGTACTTCTTTAATTGGAAATAAGAGCTTTTACATGTCAAACACCACACAGAGACTTTCGTGTGTTTCAAAACCATCCCTGACTCTAACGGCTACGGAACAAAATCATCTGGCATCACATTTATTCAAAACTGTTTTATCCATCTACTGCCATGTCTTTTGACAAGAACATCCACAAAACCATCGAGGTTTATGGCTCTGGCCCTTCTGGCCTGACTGCTTCACACCCCAAATTGATGAGTGGATTGTCACGCACTGGGTTCCTTAGGCTACGTCCACACTAATGCGTTTTCGTCCACACTGAGACGTTTTGGAAACGCTCTTGAAAACACATACATTTCAAAACGGAGCTGTCCGGTTGCAGTGTGGACACTCGAAAACGCAGACGACGCATTTTAGTCATGTGATGCAGTCATGTGACCAATTAAACTAAGACAGCGGAGGGCGTTACACAGCAGTTGTTTTGATTGCTCTCAACTCTGACAGCCATAATAAAATAATATCAGTCTGTACGTGCTCCAGATAGCTTTTCAAATTCTTTAATTCTCACTCATTGTTGCGCAGGACTGGAACGTAAGCGTTTTGGGCCGTTTCATTGTGGACGCACGGCTCTGGGAAAACAACTGAAGACGATAATGTGGACACCGAGCGTTTTCAGACGAGAACGCCGTTTTCAAATCTACCCAGGCTAGTGTGGACGTAGCCTTAGAGTAGCTTTGATTAATTTTAGCAGTGAAAAACTGTGCTCACAAGCCGAGGCTGAAAGGTGACAAACAAAACGAGTTAGAGGGGTGGCCAGCGCCCCCCTATGGCCATCCCCCCTTGTTGGGGCCACTGTGTACGACCCCTACAGCATGAGTCCTGGAAAATCATGTTATCTGCGACTCTGTGACAAGTACAGTTCCAGTTAATACTTGTACAGCTGCTGTTATTGTGTATATATTTATTTATATTTCTTCATACATTCTTATATAGTTCTATACTGTGTATTTTGTTGTACAGTTATTTTATTTTCAACTTTAATTTATATATTTTATCTTATTCTTTCCCAGTTAAATTTACCCTTCATTCTAATTTGTGTTGTACAGTTATTTCATTTTTAACCTTAATTTATATTTTATTCCTTCCTAGTTAAATTTACCCTTTTTAATTTTTCATATTTATTTCCTATCTTATTCATAGCCTTTCCTTTTTTGTTTTCTTTAGGTCACGAGCAGTTGTCCAAGCATTTCACTGCATATCGTACTGTGTATGACTGTGTACGTGACAAATAAAATTTGAATTTGATTTGAATTTGAATTTGATTTGAGTACTGATATTTTCTAAACATCAGTATTTCATCTGCTAAAGTGCATAACCAGTTATTCACTGCTACACCTGTTCTCCAGTCAGCTGCCTCATCTTTACCAATCCCAGTAATTATAAGGCATAGATGGAAAAAATCTCATAAAATCAAACCAAACTCAGTGATCTAATTTCTGTGTGATGTAAACCTATTCCTCTTAAGCCCATCTCTGCTGCAATTGTTGCCTTTTTTTAATCTAATAAATCATTCGTGCATAACATTTTATCACAGCTCAGAAATGAGACTTTTTCTTCTTCCTTGAGACTCAAACCAGGTGACTGTTGTCACGAGGGAGTCGCAGTGGTTTATAAGGACCATCTGAACTGTCCATTAATCCTGGTTCTTTTAACTCCTTTGAATTATTAATCTATCGACCTCCCAAATCCTGCAAACATTCCCTGAATGAACTCTCTAATCTCCTGTCCTCTCCTCTGTTATGATTCATTTTGATAAAATCATCTTGGTCGGTGACTTTAATTTACATATGGATGATGCCTCTAACTACTCTGCCACAGAATTTCTTAAATTGCAAAAGCATTTAATTTTGTGCAATAGTAAAACTCTTTTGTGCACATGTCTGATCATAAATGTAACATGAATAAACTGGTCCTGGGTGCTAAAGTCTCTCAATGCTGTGGGCTCCGCTGCAAACACAGAAACAGTTTCCTGCAGTTTCCAGTCTAACACTGAACACCAGAATGAAACAGCTGATGTGTGATATTATAGATAACAGTATAATATCACATCAGCGTGTACAGTCAGACTGGATGTAGGGAAGTCTCTCCCAGCGGATCATCTGTGACTCTATATCCGCCCGGTCACCGGCAGCCTGCGTGTGTTTACCGCCACCGAAATCTGCCTCCGTTAGAACCCAACTATCCCCGGCACTGCCGCTGTTTCACCGGGACTCTGTCCCCACGGGTCTTCGCTGACCGGAGCACCGAGATCACATTTCATCCGAACCGCTTTGGGTCACTTTAGGAGCAGAAATGTGGAGAAAGTTCGCTGCGAGCTGCTCCGAGAGGCGGTGTGTCAGAGAGGTTTGAAGCCTCCCGAAATTAACGGAAGAAGTCCCGAAGGGCAAAAACAGGATCAGACGGGAGACCGAAGAGTTTTCTCCCCGCTGCCTCGGAACGGGGGTTTCAAACGTTTATCTGGGGCCGGTTTGAGCTCCGAAACGCGGCGAAGAAAACACAAGAAGAGCCGCGATTGTAGCGGCAGCAGAGCGGAGGGCTGGCTTCACTCTCCATGGTTCTCATGTGCTTGATAAGTCCCGCCTCCCGCGCGAAGCTCCGACATGCTCAGTACGAAGCTCACGCGCAGACATGGCAGAAGAAGCTCCCGCAGCTGCACCGGCGAAAGCCCCGGCCAAGGCTCCCAAGAAGAAGTCCGCTCCCCGGGCTAAGAAGGACGGACCCAGCCTCCCTAAGCTCATCGTCGCCTCGGTGACAGAGTCGAAGGAGCGCAAGGGGACGTCACTGGCGGCCATAAAGAAATACCTGACCGCCAAAAATGTGGACGTACCCAAGGCCAACAAACGTATCAACACCGCCGTCGCCAAGCTGGTGGAGAAAGGCATTCTCAGTCAGGTGAAGGGCACCGGGGCTTCCGGCTCCTTCAAGCTTGCTAAGAAAGAACCGAAAGTCGCGAAACCAGCGAAGAAGAAGGCTGCCAAGCCCGCGAAGAAGGCTCCCGCCAAAGCCAAGAAGCCCGCGGTGAAGAAAGTGGCCACCCCGAAGAAATCTCCGGCCAAGAAGGCTGCGAAGAAAGTGGTGAAGAAGAGCCCCAAGAAGGCTGCTCCCAAGAAGCCCAAGGCGGCAGCCAAGAAGCCCAAGTCCCCCGCTAAGAAGGCCGCCCCGAAAAAGCCCAAAGCCGCCAAGAAGCCCGCAAAGAAAACTGCGCCAAAGAAGGCCAAGAAGTAAAAGCTGCTCCCGCACAGAGTGCATCAAAGGCTCTTTTCAGAGCCACCACAGCCTCCGCTACGAGCTTGAGAGAGTGTGTGTGTGTGTGTGTGTGTGTGTGAGAATACTGGTCTCCCAGTTAAGCTCACTGGAGGGGGAAATGCATGTTGAATTGTCAGAACATTAGAAACATGAGTTTCAGTCTTATGTCAATAAATAGAATCTGATAATTGACTAGGCAGTGATTCAATGATACTTTGAAACCTGAATTATTTCCCAGTCAGTGCTGCAAATATTTCCAGTTTATTCTGGTGCTGATGACAGGAGCTGAGTGCACTGAAGCTGTGGATGACTTTGTTTTCTTGGTTTACTAGTTTATTACCTGCTGTTATTTAGAGTTAAATTTGAATTAGCCCCCCACCCCCATCTCAAAGACCTCTGTGGACTTCACATAAGCACTGTGCAGTAACCCACACTCTGCATATGTAACACTAATGTATTTTTATTTTTCCCGGTTTGTTCGTACATCTTATCTTTTTGAATACTGTTCATATGTGTACATGCTGCTGAAGCTGTGCACCCCGCATGTGTGCAGTAGTAGGCGGCGCTGTCTCACTGTACATCTGAATAACAATAAAGAAGTTCTGCTCTGTCTAGCGCTTCATTTTGAACATTTTCGTCCAATAGCTGAGCAGCTGCGGTGCGCGCGCTACCAGATCTGGACCAATCAGCGCTGAGCTCCCGCCTGCAGCCCCTGTATAAAGCCGCTGCTCGCGCCCAGACTTCATTCTCTCTTTCGCTGTTCACGCAGAGGAGCCCGACGCTGTAAGATGGCCAGGACCAAGCAGACTGCCCGTAAATCCACCGGAGGAAAAGCTCCCAGGAAGCAGCTCGCCACCAAGGCTGCCCGTAAAAGCGCCCCTGCTACCGGAGGCGTGAAGAAGCCCCACCGTTATAGGCCCGGGACTGTGGCTCTCAGGGAGATCCGCCGCTACCAGAAATCCACCGAGCTGCTGATCCGTAAGCTGCCCTTCCAGCGCCTGGTCAGGGAGATCGCTCAGGACTTTAAGACAGACCTGCGCTTCCAGAGCTCCGCCGTCATGGCTCTGCAAGAAGCTAGCGAGGCTTACCTGGTTGGTCTGTTCGAAGACACCAACCTGTGCGCCATCCACGCCAAGAGGGTCACCATCATGCCCAAAGACATCCAGCTGGCCCGCCGCATCCGCGGAGAGAGGGCTTAAGCTGATCTGAGACCAGTTTACACCAAACACAACGGCTCTTTTAAGAGCCACGTACACGCACTCAGAGCAGCGGTTTACAGCACAGACTCTGTATCACCTGGCCCTCAGCTCAGTGCTGTTTGGAGTCTGCTGCTCGCTAACAGAGCATGCAGTGGGGGTTAGTGTTGATTGTACTGTATTAGTACACAGGTGTGTAGCGGGGGGGGCGCAATGGTACGATTATGTCAAGGACAGGAAGTGTAGCGGTGCAGGCCCACAGACCGCGTCATTAAACAAGCACAGCTGCGTTTGAGTGGTTACAGGACTGCAGAGTTCATAAGCAGCTGGATGGAGACTCTCTGAGGTTTCAGCTTGGAGGACAAAGTTTCACTGAGCCAGGCTTTAAACCTCATGATCTCCCTAAAAGTGTTTTATATGAACACTGAAGTTTGGGGAGGGGGAGAAGAACCAAAGCTCCAGTTCAATATAAAATAAACTGTCCTGCATGGCAGAGATGTGCAATAAGAACCGAGCCATGGCTCAGTGTCTCGCAGCCTCAATGTGCACTTCAAGTCATTTATAATTAAATGATCATTGTAACCTGTTTGATCTGCTGCTCAGACGTTTTGCTCCATATCCAATCATTAAACTGCTGATAAATAAAAGCAGGCCGAGCAAAGAGCTACCAGAACTTTGTCATTTCAGTTGTCACTGCCAATTAGGATGAAAGTGTGGATTAGTGCACTGTTATGGTTTACATCAGGGTAGGCAACTGCAGGCCTCGAGGGCCGGTGTCCTGCAGGTTTTAGATGTGTCCATGATCCATCACAGCTAATTTAAAGGGCTAAATGACTCCTCAGCATTTCTTGGAGTTCTCCGGAGGCCTGGTAACGAACTAATCATGTGATTCAGGTGTGTTGACTCAGGGTGCGATCTAAAACCTGCAGGACACCGGCCCTCGAGGCCTGCAGTTGCCCACCCCTGGTTTACACAATCTGTTCATATACGATCAAACTGCAGCTCACAGCTACGGGGGAGCTTTTTAACTCCAGCCATTGGACCATTTCCCACACCCAGAAACAAACTACACGCTTTTCATACTGCCGACACTGTACTCACTTTTAATCAGTTTTTTATTCACCTTTCAGTCACTTTAATTTTAAAACTGTATATACTGTATATTCTGTGCATTTATTATCTCACTCCTGTTGCCTGTTTATGCCCCGCCCTTATCTTCAGCGTCATGCTGCTCTGGTCTGTCTTGATTGGTCCTGGGGGATAAACAAAGTCTCTGTTTCTGGCAGCTGCGGCGTCCTGGGCTCTGCAGTCCGCTGTGCGGCTCTCGAAGGACCGTCATTATCAGCCGAGCCTCTCCCGGAGCTTCCCTCGGCTGTCTCGGTCTTTGTGTGTTGTTGTAACGCACACATGGATCAATGTTTGCACACGTACTGAAGCAACACATTTAAATCTGCTCTTCCGCACTCCCGATAAATGTCCCACAGCCCCGTCAGCAGGTTAAATAAAGCACTGCTCTTTTTCTTCGTTGTGCGATTTACCCAGTAAAGACGCGGAGCGACAGCTCGACCAATGACAGGCGCATTCGGTCACTATATTCTTCATTTCCGTTAATACTTGTACAGCTGCTGTTATTGTGTATATATTTATTTATATTTGATTTCTTCATACATTCTTATATAGTTCTATATTGTGTATTTTGTTGTACAGTTATTTTATTTTCAACTTTAATTTATATATTTTATCTTATTCTTTCCCAGTTAAATTTACCCTTCATTCTAATTTGTGTTGTACAGTTATTTCATTTTTAACCTTAATTTATATTTTATTCCTTCCTAGTTAAATTTACCCTTTTTAATTTTTCATATTTATTTCCTATCTTATTCATAGCCTTTTCCTTTTTTGTTTTCTTTAGGTCACGAGCAGTTGTCCAAGCATTTCACTACATATCGTACTGTGTATGACTGTGTACGTGACAAATAAAATTTGAATTTGAATTTGAATTTGTAGTTTGATTATATGAATTTCAGTATTTATCTGCTAAATGCATAACCAGTTATTCACTGCTACACCTGTTCTCCAGTCAGCTGCCTCATCTTTACCAGTCCCAGTAATTATAAGGCATAGATGGAAAAAACCTCTCATAAAATCAAACCAAACTCAGTAATCTAATTTCTGTGTGATGTAAACCTATTCCTCTTAAGCCCATCTCTGCTGCAATTGTTGCCTTTTTTAAATCTAATAAATCATTCGTGCATAACATTTTATCACAGCTCAGAAATGAGACTTTTTCTTCTTCCTTGAGACTCAAACCAGGTGACTGTTGTCACGAAGGAGTCGCAGTGGTTTATAAGGACCATCTGAACTGTCCATTAATCCTGGTTCTTTTAACTCCTTTGAATTATTAATCTATCGACCTCCCAAATCCTGCAAACATTCCCTGAATGAACTCTCTAATCTCCTGTCCTCTCCTCTGTTATGATTCATTTTGATAAAATCATCTTGGTCGGTGACTTTAATTTACATATGGATGATGCCTCTAACTACTCTGCCACAGAATTTCTTAAATTGCAAAAGCATTTAATTTTGTGCAATAGTAAAACTCTTTTGTGCACATGTCTGATCATAAATGTAACATGAATAAACTGGTCCTGGGTGCTAAAGTCTCTCAATGCTGTGGGCTCCGCTGCAAACACAGAAACAGTTTCCTGCAGTTTCCAGTCTAACACTGAACACCAGAATGAAACAGCTGATGTGTGATATTATAGATAACAGTATAATATCACATCAGCGTGTACAGTCAGACTGGATGTAGGGAAGTCTCTCCCAGCGGATCATCTGTGACTCTATATCCGCCCGGTCACCGGCAGCCTGCGTGTGTTTACCGCCACCGAAATCTGCCTCCGTTAGAACCCAACTATCCCCGGCACTGCCGCTGTTTCACCGGGACTCTGTCCCCACGGGTCTTCGCTGACCGGAGCACCGAGATCACATTTCATCCGAACCGCTTTGGGTCACTTTAGGAGCAGAAATGTGGAGAAAGTTCGCTGCGAGCTGCTCCGAGAGGCGGTGTGTCAGAGAGGTTTGAAGCCTCCCGAAATTAACGGAAGAAGTCCCGAAGGGCAAAAACAGGATCAGACGGGAGACCGAAGAGTTTTCTCCCCGCTGCCTCGGAACGGGGGTTTCAAACGTTTATCTGGGGCCGGTTTGAGCTCCGAAACGCGGCGAAGAAAACACAAGAAGAGCCGCGATTGTAGCGGCAGCAGAGCGGAGGGCTGGCTTCACTCTCCATGGTTCTCATGTGCTTGATAAGTCCCGCCTCCCGCGCGAAGCTCCGACATGCTCAGTACGAAGCTCACGCGCAGACATGGCAGAAGAAGCTCCCGCAGCTGCACCGGCGAAAGCCCCGGCCAAGGCTCCCAAGAAGAAGTCCGCTCCCCGGGCTAAGAAGGACGGACCCAGCCTCCCTAAGCTCATCGTCGCCTCGGTGACAGAGTCGAAGGAGCGCAAGGGGACGTCGCTGGCGGCCATAAAGAAATACCTGACCGCCAAAAATGTGGACGTACCCAAGGCCAACAAACGTATCAACACCGCCGTCGCCAAGCTGGTGGAGAAAGGCATTCTCAGTCAGGTGAAGGGCACCGGGGCTTCCGGCTCCTTCAAGCTTGCTAAGAAAGAACCGAAAGTCGCGAAACCAGCGAAGAAGAAGGCTGCCAAGCCCGCGAAGAAGGCTCCCGCCAAAGCCAAGAAGCCCGCGGTGAAGAAAGTGGCCACCCCGAAGAAATCTCCGGCCAAGAAGGCTGCGAAGAAAGTGGTGAAGAAGAGCCCCAAGAAGGCTGCTCCCAAGAAGCCCAAGGCGGCAGCCAAGAAGCCCAAGTCCCCCGCTAAGAAGGCCGCCCCGAAAAAGCCCAAAGCCGCCAAGAAGCCCGCAAAGAAAACTGCGCCAAAGAAGGCCAAGAAGTAAAAGCTGCTCCCGCACAGAGTGCATCAAAGGCTCTTTTCAGAGCCACCACAGCCTCCGCTACGAGCTTGTAGGAGTGTGTGTGTGTGTGAGTGTGTGTGAGTGTGTGTGTGAGAGAGTGTAATACTGGTCTCCCAGTTAAGCTCACTGGAGGGGGAAATGCATGTTGAATTGTCAGAACATTAGAAACATGAGTTTCAGTCTTATGTCAATAAATAGAATCTGATAATTAACTAGGCAGTGATTCAATGATACTTTGAAACCTGAATTATTTCCCAGTCAGTGCTGCAAATATTTCCAGTTTATTCTGGTGCTGATGACAGGAGCTGAGTGCACTGAAGCTGTGGATGGCTTTGTTTTCTTGGTTTACTGGTTTATTACCTGCTGTTGTTTAGAGTTAAATTTGAATTAGCCCCCCACCCCCATCTCAAAGACCTCTGTGGACTTCACATAAGCACTGTGCAGTAACCCACACTCTGCATATGTAACACTAATGTATTTTTATTTTTCCCGGTTTGTTCGTACATCTTATCTTTTTGAATACTGTTCATATGTGTTCATATGTGTACATGCTGCTGAAGCTGTGCACCCCGCATGTGTGCAGTAGTAGGCGGCGCTGTCTCACTGTACATCTGAATAACAATAAAGAAGTTCTGCTCTGTCTAGCGCTTCATTTTGAACATTTTCGTCCAATAGCTGAGCAGCTGCGGTGCGCGCGCTACCAGATCTGGACCAATCAGCGCTGAGCTCCCGCCTGCAGCCCCTGTATAAAGCCGCTGCTCGCGCCCAGACTTCATTCTCTCTTTCGCTGTTCACGCAGAGGAGCCCGACGCTGTAAGATGGCCAGGACCAAGCAGACTGCCCGTAAATCCACCGGAGGAAAAGCTCCCAGGAAGCAGACTCGCTACCAAGGCTGCCCGTAAGAGCGCCCCTAGCCACCGGTGGCGTGAAGAAGCCCCACGTTATCAGACCTGGTACCGTTGCTCTGAGGCGAGATCCGCCGTCTACCAGAATCCACCGAGCTGCTGATCCGTAAGCTGTCCGTTCCAGCGCCTGGTTAGGCGAGATCGCTCAGGACTTCTAAGACCGACCTGCGCTTCCAAAGCTCAGCCGTCATGGCTCTGCAGGAGGCAGCGAGGCTTACCTGGTCGGTCTTCTTGAGGACACCAACCTGTGCGCCATCCATGCCAAAGAGGGTCTACCATCATGCCCAAAGACATCCAGCTGGCCCGCCGCATCCGCGGAGAGAGGGCTTAAGCTGACTGGACCAGTTCTAACACCAAACACAACGGCTCTTTTAAGAGCCACGTACACGCACTCAGAGCAGCGGTTTACAGCACAGACTCTGTATCACCTGGCCCTCAGCTCAGTGCTGTTTGGAGTCTGCTTCTCACTAACAGAGCATGCAGTGGGGGTTAGTGTTGATTGTACTGTATTAGTACACAGGTGTGTAGCGGGGGGGCGCAATGGTACGATTATGTCAAGGACAGGAAGTGTAGCGGTGCAGGCCCACAGACCGCGTCATTAAACAAGCACAGCTGCGTTTGAGTGGTTACAGGACTGCAGAGTTCATAAGCAGCTGGATGGAGACACTGAGGTTTCAGCTTGGAGGACAAAGTTTCACTGAGCCAGGCTTTAAACCTCATGATCTCCCTAAAAGTGTTTTATATGAACACTGAAGTTTGGGGAGGGGGAGAAGAACCAAAGCTCCAGTTCAATATAAAATAAACTGTCCTGCATGGCAGAGATGTGCAATAAGAACCGAGCCATGGCTCAGTGTCTCGCAGCCTCAATGTGCACTTCAAGTCATTTATAATTAAATGATCATTGTAACCTGTTTGATCTGCTGCTCAGACGTTTTGCTCCAATCATTAAACTGCTGTTAATAAAAGCAGGCCGGGCAAAGAGCTACCAGAACTTTGTCATTTCAGTTGTCACTGCCAATTAGGATGAAAGTGTGGATTAGTGCACTGTCGTTATGGTTTACATCAGGGTAGGCAACTACAGGCCTCGAGGGCCGGTGTCCTGCAGGTTTTAGATGTGTCCATGATCCATCACAGCTAATTTAAAGGGCTAAATGACTCCTCAGCATTTCTTGGAGTTCTCCGGAGGCCTGGTAACGAACTAATCATGTGATTCAGGTGTGTTGACCCAGGGTGCGATCTAAAACCTGCAGGACACCGGCCCTCGAGGCCTGCAGTTGCCCACCCCTGGTTTACACAATCTGTTCATATACGATCAAACTGCAGCTCACAGCTACGGGGGAGCTTTTTAACTCCAGCCATTGGACCATTTCCCACACCCAGAAACAAACTACACGCTTTTCATACTGCCGACACTGTACTCACTTTTAATCAGTTTTTTATTCACCTTTCAGTCACTTTAATTTTAAAACTGTCTATACTGTATATTCTGTGCATTTATTATCTCACTCCTGTTGCCTGTTTATGCCCCGCCCTTATCTTCAGCGTCATGCTGCTCTGGTCTGTCTTGATTGGTCCTGGGGGATAAACAAAGTCTCTGTTTCTGGCAGCTGCGGTGTCCTGGGCTCTGCAGTCCGCTGTGCGGCTCTCGAAGGACCGTCATTATCAGCCGAGCCTCTCCCGGAGCTTCCCTCGGCTGTCTCGGTCTTTGTGTGATGTTGTAACGCACACATGGATCAATGTTTGTCTGCACACGTACTGAAGCAACACATTTAAATCTGCTCTTCCGCACTCCCGATAAATGTCCCACAGCCCCGTCAGCAGGTTAAATAAAGCACTGCTCTTTTTCTTCGTTGTGCGACGTACTTTACCACGTAAAGTCAAGGCGATGCACAAGCAGATATGCGGAGAGCTCAGGCGGCGGGATCTCGACCACACCAACTATCATTCTGACCCATACATCGAGGAAATAAAACAGAGCCGCTCTGCGCTGACGGGCACATTCTCTGTTGGGAAGTATCGACGAGCAAGGAAAATGCATGAACCCTGAACCACGCAAGTCCGCGCCCAAGAAGGGCTCCAAGAAAGCCGTGACTAAAACCGCCGGCAAGGGCGGCAAGAAGAAGAGAAAGACCAGGAAGGAGAGCTACGCCATCTACGTGTACAAGGTGCTGAAGCAGGTGCACCCCGACACCGGCATCTCCTCCAAGGCCATGAGCATCATGAACTCGTTCGTCAACGACATCTTCGAGCGCATCGCCTCTGAGGCCTCCCGCCTGGCTCACTACAACAAGCGCTCCACCATCACCTCCAGGGAGATCCAGACCGCCGTGCGCCTCCTGCTGCCCGGTGAGCTGGCCAAGCACGCCGTGTCCGAGGGCACAAAGGCCGTGACCAAGTACACCAGCTCCAAGTAAACTGCAGCTCTGCTGCATCCACCCAACGGCTCTTTTCAGAGCCACCCACTTCGTCTAAAGAGCACATGTCCTGCTGTGACACTCACTGGTCCTGCTATAAACACATGTTTAACACGTGTATTGGGGCACATGTACAACAGTTTCAATAAACCGAGCAGCACTGATCGAGGCTGTTATCTCTGATCATTTATTTATATAATCACTCTTCTCCCGCCTCCCTCGTGCGCACCCGTTTCCTGCAGTGTGACGACATTTCTGGATATTTCAGCTGTGGAAATGACCAGTTTTCATCTCCAGACGTAACGACCCATAATTACAGGTAAGCTACAATATAAGAGGAGATTTCACAGATTGTCCCGCCCGTGACTTTGTGTATTTGGTGGTTTAGAGGTCTGAGCCTGACTTAAAGGGCCGGAAGTTAATGGTAGCTAACTCATATCGCACCTGCAAAAACCCTTTGCAGAGCTTTATTAGTTCTGGTTATAATGTGGGTGTAGTTCATCTGCTTTATATTATGTCACAGCTGTGCCCCTGCACCCGCTCCGTGAAATGGATGGATGGTATTATGACATATGACACTAACGCTAATCAGTTTTCCTCATGGAAAATGAGTAAACAGAGGCTGTATCTAGGGCTGGGTTTTTATAATCGATTTACCGATTAAGATCGATTCATTAAAATCCTGAATCGATTTTTTATTATATAAATT